CGTGACAACCATTTTCACTGCCCTTTAGCATTGTAGTCCAGGCGTGCGTCCAGCCGGTGTGTGCAATCATTTAGGGGGAGCCGGGCACGACCAACGTTGACCGCTAAGCAGCTTTTTGTTGAGGTTTTCGGCCCAGTTTGCAGGCCCAGATTCCGGACACCAAGCGAGCTTCATGATAGAGTGCCCTGAATGTATACTAGATGTATGAATACTGAAATCAATATTAACATGGAGTTAACATTCTTACTGTCATTGACATGGATTCAACTTAAATATTCATCCTATTACTAGTTACCACTTATAGTAACATTTTTTGCGCATATGACTATCAGTAACACGAATAATTATTGACAGTCGCACCAATATCATCAGCGATACTCAGGCTAAGCTTCGGCTTGAGAGTTGCGTTTATTTAGCCTATGGTGAGTCATAGTAACATTGTCGATCGTAACATGAGTTTACGATAATAGTAGTACAAACACTACCGGTCACATTGATATCAACATCCATATCTAGATCAGAGTTGGCAGCAAAATAAGCATTAACAATCCGTGTTGATCAAGATATAGGTACTGACATTAATGTACACATTAGTACCAATATGAATACTGATGTCAATATTGAGATCGAATATTCACAAATGAAGTCGATACTAAATTAGTGTTAGGTATGAATGTCAATATTGACATTCAAACGAAAACGCAATGGCGATAGTAATACCAATATAATTACAAGTTTGATACTTGTATTCATGATAAAGGTAGGGTTAAAGCCAAATTGATCATTCACCTTGACATCCACTGGTCATAGCCACAATTTACATTCTCATGAATAGCACTACAAACACTAATACCAATACTCACAATAATGCTGATAAGACAGTAGTACATCAAAGCAGAGGACCAGCCTCAGCCAACCGGCCACGGTGGACGGCGGCGTAGCCAAAAGCAGCGCGTGGGGATCGAGGCGGGTGGAGACCTCAGAGCAGAAAGACAGGGGTATACAGGGGTAGGGTTTGACTAGCGATTAGGATTTAAGGCTTAGGGTAAAAAGAAGGGTTCAGGAATTAGGGATTACGGCTTAGAGTTTGGGAATTTTTGGTGCTGGGGCTCTCCCTTTGGGGCCTCTCTTTGGGATTCTGTTTTCAGCGCCCTGTCTTCCCTCTCGGCCCGGAGCCCAGAAGCGGATGAGGCGGGCATCTTTCCTTGGACTGCAAGCTGATCGCAGGGCAGTGCATAGAGTCTATGCAAAAGCGGCATCCAGGGGTCTCCAAAACCGAAGGGGTTAGCCGGTCGAAATCCATCCTGATGTGATGTTGGGATGCAAGCAATATGCTCTCTTCAGCATGCTTCTGATGTGCGCCCTGTTGTGCTCTCACAGGGAATCAGTTCGACCCGAGCGTCTGCGCAGCGTCCAGGCGGTTCTCAAAAGACTGCCTGAGGCCCAAGCGCTCCTGGAGGTTGCTCGGACTCGTTTCTCGGTCTTGGTTCAGGTTTGTAGCTTGGGGCTGTTTTCGATTTGGGCCCTCGGGTATTGAAGCCAGCCAGTGGGCCAGGGCCTTATCCCAGGGCCGAGGCAGTGAGAGACAGGGAATTGCGAACCCAAAACTCTGCATGAATGTCGGCCACTCAGGCAACAACGCGGAGTTGCCTGAAGTCGCATTGCGAATGCTTGGCAACGACAACTTATGGGTGTCACCATGCAGGAAAAGTTATTCTAATTCACCCCCGTGGGGTCCGGAAACCAGTTCAGGTGCGACATATAGGCAATTGAATTGGTTCAAGGTTTTTTGCAGACTGTCCAGGTCCTCCTCCGTGAGCTTTCCATCGATATCGATGATGAGCGCTTCCTCTCCCAAAAGCAGCACCAACGACAAACAACCGATACATACCTTATACCCTGACCCCCCCACCAAACATACAAATAAACAATAACTCAACCATAGTCGCGCTAACCCCTCCAAGATGGAACGATTTCAGAGGAAGCTTCGGGGCCTTACGGCATGTCAGGTCCCCCCTGGGTCCCGCTGCCAGTCGAAGGTATCCAGCAGCCAGAGGGCGCGGCAGAATCCGACATGAGGGCCTGGAAAGGCCATCCGAGCTTTGGAGGGCTCCATAAACTCAGAAGCCTCTTCTTTAGGACAGGGGCGACATACCACAAGGTAGTTCAAGGCTTGAGCCGTCCCATCGCAAACGGTTTTGCACAAGGATCTAGTCTTGGCAAGAGGCTGCTTGGCGCATCGAAGGGCGCCGGATGAAGGAAAACTGCGGACACCAAGTGCTCGCAGAACCTCAGTCTCAGTGCAAAGCGGCCGAATCCCGTGATCCATTCGTCGCACGGAAACTTTCGAAGCGAGCGCAGGGATCTTGCTTGAAATCTTGATGGACCACCTCCCTAAGCCCAGTGGCTCGTCGTATCCCGACATCATCCTGGGCTGCTGTGACATTAGCCACAAGGGCCTCAAAAGGGTGGGGGCGAAGTCCATGCACAAGAGTTTCGGAACTGCTGGTTCTGGGTATTCAGGTGTCCGTTGAATAGAAGGAAACCTCAACAAAAACAACCATGATTTTTTTTGCAGAGTGCAACCCTGAACATTGACAGCTCCGCCAGGCATCTGCGAGGCCATCCAGCGCTTGAAGAGCCGGGCCGCCCCAGCCATCGCTGGCTTTTGTAGCCTCTGCCGCTCTTCTTTTGGGATGTACAGAGGGGCCTTGCTGCCAGTACGACGCTTCTGCTCTTGACCTCGACGTTGCGGTCACGGCTCCTACCTACAAAGTGATTCATGATCTGCTGCTTGGGTATCCCCGAACTGTGTCTTTCTTATTCGCTTGGCCCTTGTGAGGGCCACTCAAACCCACAGTAGGAAATTGACACTCTCTAGGCAGAACCACACAAAAAGAACACAAAAAACGTGCAGCAGCAGCAGCAGCAGCAGCAACAACAAGACTAAACATATCTAGACATGGTAGCGACAATCCGCATCAGGATGATGAGCATGACAAGACGAGCCATAAGCTGCAAATACTATCCACTAGGAGACCCATCGCTTGGCAGTCAAAGAAGATGGGCTCCGGGCGCATGGGCATGCAAAGAGGCACGCAGCCGTGGCCGCCACCAGAGAGTGCGGAGTCTCGGATGATGGCTCCCGGATGTTCAGGATTGATGATCGATAAGCGCACATCATTCTTAATCATGCAAGCCCAATACGTGGTAAATATTCTGTCAAAGAAGCTTGGGATATCATTTTTTTCAGCAGACTGGCAATCTCATCTGCTTTGGGAACCGTGCCACGTAAATCGTTTCTCTGACATTTCTATACCTGCACGCATCTCAACGTGCCGTATGCGTGCAGCAACATGTACAAAAACGCATATGAGTACGGATGTGTGCGAATCCACCATCCACACACCCACCATACAGCGCCTATGTTGGTCCCAGCCTTTCCAGCTCCGCCTCGCCGGGCGCTGCAGTGGTCTGAGCCTTCTCCCAAGGCTCCACAGAGCGGTTTTGGGGTTTAGGGGATCCAGAAGACGGGAAGTGATGCTTCTTTCGGGCTCTTTGGGGGAAACGGCCTTGCCATTCAAATCCGACCAGGGGTCGAAGTCCTTTGTCGATCTGAAAAGCCCTCCATCCCATTTCCCTCCCCAGAGTCTAAGACAGGCTCCAGGTTTAGGGTTTAGGGCTTAAGCGTTTAAGGGTTTTTTAAAGCACCTTTTTCCACCTAGCAGTTAAAGGGTTTAGGGTTTAGGGTTTAGGACAGGCTCCGGGTTCAGGGGGTCATACTGGGCTTGCACTCCCCCATGGCAGCCTGTAGTCCGGTGACCTTGTTGGCCACCTGCTTCGGGCAGGGAAAACAAGGCAAAGGGTTTAGGGTTTAGGGTTTAAAGTCTAGGGCTTAGGGTTTAGGGTTTAGGGGGAGCTGCGTGCAAGCTACGAGGCCTCTGGGACAAGGTAGGGCTCAGACTGGCATCGCACTCTTTGGGATCAGTGCAAAGTGTTTGGATGCCGCTTTCTTTTTTGGGGGGCAGGGTGCGCAGTCGCAGCCTCTTGCAGCTCATGGGGGTGGAAGATGCGCAGACGGAACACCGTCTCCGGGTAGCGCCTGATGCATACAGCAGCTCCGGCATGGATGTAACGGTTATTGCACTGAGTTCAGAGCCTCGCGTCACTCGAGAGGTTTAGGCAACTTCAAAATTTCAGCTGATGGAACAGAAGGAGCCTGGAGTCGAAAGTGTGCGGAGACGAAGAGCAAAGTACAAAGCCCAAGGAAGAGCCTTCGATACCTGCTTCTGTAGGTCCCACAGCCGCTTTGCAAAAACAGGAGCTTCGGAAGAGGTGGACCCCACAGTCTCATCCAATGCAAAGCCCCAAGAAACGGAAGCATCCTCATATCCCCCGTGCCGAGCCACACATCCAGAAAGCCCTCGGTGGCATCCGCTTCGATGCCCAGGTCTGTCGAAAGCTCCTCTCGAATCCTGCTCGGTCTGATCATATATATCATGAAAAACATACATCAGACTACCAGGCATCAACAGCCTTATCCAAGCAGCTTGCACCAGGGGATCCGCATTTCGATCATCACTCCGGCTTTGGCAAGGGCCAAGGGGACTGAGGGAAGGCCCTGTGCGAGGACGGGAGTGTCAAGCTCAGGAGCCCTGGTTGGTCTTTACCGAGGGCTTGCTAGAATTCGGGCTTCTGTGGTAGGGTCCCGCATGTTTTGGAGAAACCCGACACGCGGCTCCCCGACCAAAACCTCATGCCGTTCAGACCTGTCGTTATGCAAGGTATGAAGTGGATGTATCCAGAATACCCGACAACCACTCGCCAGGGCACTGCAGCAGCAGTGCGGCTCCAACTTTCTGCGCAGGGGCCTGCGAGAAGGGATCGTTGAAGGGATTGAAGAGTTACCAAAGTCCCAAAACCCCGAATCCCTAAATACGCAGACCCCCCCCCAAGTATCCCTGAAACTCTTCCAAGAAACCCGAAAGAAAGCCCCGGCCGGCTCTGACGGCCATCGCCCAGAGGATTCGAACTCCAGCACGGTCTCCAAAAGCGTCCGCCGCAGCTTCTGGGAGATGCTATAGGGGTTTTTGGAAGTTTAGCGTCGAAGAGAGTCTAGGATCTGGGGGTCTAGAGGTCTAGGCTTTGTTCAGAGTTCAAGGTGCTGGAATCTGGCTTCAGCAAGTCGGACGGTTAGAGATCTCCGGCTTAGTCTGCAAGGCTTGGCGTCGGGGGCTCAAGCGCCGAAGGGTTCGATGAATATCGGGGATTTGGGCTTTGACGCGAGTGCATGGTATGCTTTGTGGGCGAACAATCCTGTGTTTTGCTGGGATGAACGGTGTGTTTGGGAGTTGAAGCCTTGGGCCGTTCTGTGTGGAATCCAAGCTCGCCGCTTCATGGGAAGACTGACTTCAACAAGGCGGAGTTGACGATGCGCGACTCAGTGTTGCGTCTCGGAGCTTGTAAGAAAGCCATGCAAGCGGATATCTCAGGCAGAGCGCGGCATCGCTGCCCGATGGCGCTGGGGGCGCAATGGTGGACTGGATCGACATGTAGCCTCAAAATTGCAGGATATAGCAAGGCTTCGAAGTCCTGCAGAAGGCTCAAAGACTGCAGAGATTTACCCCGTAAGGACATCTCCATGCCAGCCGGGCAACTGAAGGAGGCATCCACCGGGTGGATGTCCTCGGTCGCCCGAACGGAGTGATATGCTCTTTGCACAGCCCGAGGTAATTTGCAGGGCCATGGAACACGAAAACTCCCCCCAACCTGATTCTGCAACTGTTCTGGTTGGGCAGTCCTGCTTCGGACCGGAAGGTTTCAGGGCTGAGGCCCTAAGCTAGCGATCCTTTTTTTGTAAAGGTCCCGGTGCCTTCACAGCGAGCGGAAGGGAGCTCAGCTGGCAGAGGTGCGTGCGAAAGGTCTCGAAGGCAGCCCACAGTCGACGGTCCTGCATGGCAGGAGCAATTGAGGTCCACGAACATATTGGGCCTGGAATTTCATCGGCCGTTGGGTAGGATCTGATGGGAGTTTCCGAGTTCACATGAGCCGAGATGCCAGCAAGTCGTCGCACAGCAGAGATGGAGACATCCTACAGGCCCGGGCACCTTCTCGGCGAGGTTCGGCACGAAGCCGGTAGGTCCCGAGATAATGTCCTCCAAAACATCGAAACTTCAGAGTAAGATCAAAAGCGATCAGTCTGATAGATGCCAAGTCCAGGAAGGGGAACCGTAGGCACCTCCTGGTGTACACTGGCTCATCCTACACCCTGCACACTTGACGCCAGCTTGCTCTACTCTTCTCCCTCCATGTCCGTCTTCGGTGCCAGCTGAGATGGCAGATGCCGCGTGAGCAGATGTTGCACGATCTGCGTCACCTCGGGATCACACTAGCTAGGCAGCAAGGCTCTACCAGACTTTACCATGAAATCATCACAGCAGCCTTTGCAAACAACTGAACAAGTGCCACAAGGCACCTGACGACCCGCGATGACTCATGATTCTTCAAATTCTGCTGGCGAGTCAAGGCGCCACGGCCGGCTGCTTTCGAGTCTCCATCTTCCTCTCCGCCGGAGGCTTCTGCCAAACCACGCACTCCAGGATGCTCCCGTCCTCACAGGCACACACACGAAAAGCCGCACACACCCGGGCCCCGGTGGAACGGCTGGGCCTTGAAGCGCCGCAGCTCGCTCTTCTCGGTACCTTGCTCTGAGAGAGCACGCTGCCGAAGAGCGCAGGAGGCTGCGGAGGAAAGGAAGCACTCCCAAGTCCCAAACTTCACCGTTTTTTGTTAGTTGAGATCTGAGCACACTTGAGTCACTTGAACCTCAAGCCCCTACAACTCTGGGCCGAGTGGCCCCACAGCTGACGAAACTTCGTCGCTGCGGCATCCTGCAGTCTCACAGTCACAGTAGGGTAACAACACTACGACACTAAGAGGCATCGGTCACAAAAAGTGGGCATGCTGCGGATGCTTGCTCTTCCTACGATGCGTGTTTTTCCTAATTTCTCGTATGCTGCTGGCGATGGTGGCAACCCAAGCTTTCATATCACTGACACTCAAGTTGTGTGTACTAGCATCATGTCCGTGTGCCCTCGTCTTCGTGTTCTCCTGACTGCTTCATCTTCTCAACTTCATCTTCCTGCCATTCGTGCCATCCTTTCCTTACAGCCACACGTGTGAGACCCGTGTGTCTGCTCGTCTCCTGGCCTGTGGGAAGACACGGAGACGGTGCCGAGCGGGGAAGTTAGGGTCAGGGGGCTCCTCTGAGGCTCGGTTTCCCCATGGAATTCGGTTCTCAAAGAGGCGCGTCAGGACGACGATCAAATCTTCGAGGGGCGTCCGGGCCTCAGAGCTCCGACGGGACTTGCACCCCCATGGTCCTGGGCGGATGGCCCTCGGTCCACCAGGCGCTCCAGGTTTTCCGGGGCCAACATCAAGCCGACAAGCACCTGGGCTCAAAGCTGACATTGGCATCTCCCCCTTGCTGCCTGGTCCAGGAAGGGAAGCCGGGCCAGCCAACTGTCATGCTTGCGGCCATTCCGGCGACGTAAGACGAACCGCCAACGACCACACTTATCATCGCCATAACCGTTGCCGTCATCACCGCCACCGTTATCATTGCCATTACCACATAACCAAGTCCCCAGATGTGAACCCAGACCCCAAGCTTAATACCCCAAACTGTCTTCCCACAAGCCTGCATTTGCATCCCCCTGCAGCCGCAAATCTGCAACCATCAAGCTCCAGCGAAAGCCCCGAAACCCAGAACTCAAATCCCAAACTGGGAACCACATCGCTTGCTCAAACCCAACGCAAGCCTCACAGCAACAAACACAAACTTTCAACTGCCGTCTCCGCCTCAACCTCAGATCCTAGGATCTTGTAGTACTCCTTTCATGACTCCCACAATCCGAATCCCGAATATAATATAATATCATATTATATAATACAAGATAAGATAATAAGATAATATAACATATTTTTGTACAGTATCCCATGCCCCAGGCAGCCAGGGACCGCCGGGCCGGTCTCCGGCGGCCGCTCTGTCCAGCGAGGCTGGAGATGTCCGACCCAGCGCCTGGGAAGTTCGGGTGGCTTTAGGGCCTATAGGGCCCTTTTGAAAGGGTGCTGGAAGATGAGCTAGGCTAGATGTGAGCAGACTAGCGTTCTAGTTGCGTTCTGCGGTTCTGCCTGTTGTTTCTTTTGGGCGGCTGGGTGGACCAAACCTAAAAGCTTGAAAAAAAATGCTGACCGGCACAAGGTGCAAAGCCGAGCGAACACAGCGGTCGTCCAAGCCAGCACGCAGCACGGACCCTCAGCGCGATCTCCGGGTCTTCGGAGGGCCGACTAGAATGGTGGCTTGATGTTCAGGGTTTGGGGTCTTCAGTACATTTTTCTCAGGTCTAGGCGCGATTCGTTGTTGTTTGGGGAGCTGGGACTTCAGTACTGTTTGCGGTTTAGTGTCCACGGATTGAGGGCTTGGCCCATGGGGTTCGAATTCGTCTGTTGGTAAGCACACTGCAAAGATCTGCAAAGGTCCGAGGCCTCGGGTAGCACTTTCGAGCGCGATCAAACTTTGGCGATTGCGGGATGTCATCTGCTGTAAGAACAACCTCCCCAAAACCTTGAGGATGTCAGATACTCCGGTACACGCTTGAATGGCTACCCTTCCCGTGAAAGCCTCGCACCCTAGAGATCCTGAAGCCCCGCATTCAAGCAGTGCGAAAGCCTCTGACACGGTCTCAAGCCTTGCTGATGCCAACGCGCAAATGTCACCCTACAAGGTGCTGCGGCCCCGCGGCGTAAGTGCTCTGCAGTGGCCAGGGCTTCCGGCATATCCGCTGGAAAGCCTGGGATCGGGGCTTCAGGTTGTAAAAGCACATCAGCCTTGATGCCAGGATGGGCGCAAGGAGACTGATTTTCTTCGCCGCTGGAAATCCGTCCAAGGCCCAGGTGCTGGGGGGAACCTCGCCAGCAGGTGTCTCCGTCCTGGCAGGGATTGAAATTTGGACAGGGCGTCTAAGGGGGTCTAAGGGGTTCTGGATCGTTTTGTGTGAGGGAGGCTTGGTTTGGGAGGCCTGAATCTCTACAGTACGGTTTGAGACAAGTTGGGGGACGACCCGAGCAGGCCTCAGATCTGGGCACATCGCCGTGCTCGGAAGCTGAGGTAGCCTGAGGCAGAGATCCTGGGCAAGGCCATGATTTTCCAAGGTCTCAGGGTCTTGGCCGGGTTCTCTCTGAGTGGTTAAGCCGTTAAAGCCTCTTCAGGATATCTGGAGAGGGGGAGTCTTTCTGGGAGTTCCCGCTCTCTTTCTGTGTTACAGAGTCCACATGAGTCCGCCGACAGAGGGGCGGGCTTGACTTCGGGGCAAGTTCAAGTTGTTGTTTCAAAGAGATTCGCTACTTGCAGCGGAGCTTTTGAAGACAAAACCTCCAAGCACATGGGGCCCAGGGTGTGCTTTTGATCTGAAGCCCCCCCCCCCCACACAGTCTTAAACGGTTGGCGGTCAACCGGAGCTTCCCTCTCAACTCCCTTCCGAAGTTTCTATACGGAGGTGGTGACTTTGATGCCCTCAGCCCGAAGCACTAAACGATCTTATAGGCCACTCCGCATCTAGCAGCAACCCACATGAATGCTACGTAGTAGTTGCACGGCTGGCGCGAAATCAGCCTTAGATAGCCTGAGAAACCCGCAGGCGCCGAAGAGCGTAAAACAGGTGCGCACTGGGCCCAAGCAACAAAAACTCTTACTGGAGCCGTGGTGTATGACTTTCTCGTACTCACATCCCAAAATAGTGGGATACTGGGTAAACCTATACATACGAGTAACAGAATTACTAGAAACTGAACTGCCGTCAGTTGTCCCACGCCAGCTCAGGCGTGGCTTGGCAGCCGAAGACCATCTCGAAAGGGTCAGCCTGGCGCAGGCAGTAACAGTGACGAATCCTATACGCACCAGACTCTCCGAGTCCTGATTTCCAAAATTTCACCCCTCTGCCGGAGCCATGTTTTTCCGACTATAGAGCTGCTTTAGACATGAACTATCAGCATGATTCCTTCTACACATCACGATACCACTAGTAGCATTGTTCTTCATTCCCATCATCTCTACTCTGTTGAGCAATGATATTTTCCACACAGCAGCCTGGGAGTCCATCGCACGGAGGGCCCGCTTGGCCTCCCATTGCAGCCTTTGCAAGTTGGGATCGTTCGGGTGGCTTCTGTGATGACCTGCCCGAAGCCAGCTGCAACGCTCTGGCCAAGAGGCGGGGCAGTTGCATGTGTTTCAGAGGGCACCTCAAGCCTTTCGACCTGGAAAAGCGCAATATCAGAACTGAACATCCATGGTAAAGCCCCGCCCCGTCGATTGCTAAAACCTAAAAGACCCCAAGGGCCTGCGGACATGGCATCCGAGAGGCTCCTCCACGACTGGCCCGACTCGGGAAAGGAAGTTCACGGCACCCTCCTTGGAGAAGTCGAGACGCCGCGCCACCATCGAAAGACATTGTATGTGTGCATGGACGGATGTATGGGGATGGAGGTACGTATGTGTGTATGTAGAGTGTGTGTGTGTGTGTGTATATATATATATATATGTATCGGGTAGTTGAACACCAGTCCGCTCCCTAGAGTAGAGTGCAGATACAGGCAGTGGACTGCACAGCACTTGTTGATACCGATGTCGCAGAAAAAGCGTTGGACCTTGGTCCGGTTCCGCTAGGAAGGCAGAGGCGGAGCAGCACCGGACCGACCGAGAGCTCAGCTGCAGAACACGCCAGGCTGTATAACCTGTTGGTCTGCAAGGCCAGGAAGAGGAGCGGTGAGAAAGGCAGCCATGCTGGTGGAAAAAACCCTGCTCCGCAAACGGACGGATCTGGCTCGACGCGAAACAGGGCTGCCGAGCGGTTGCCGTTGTGAGCTCGCGCAAATATCCCTGAGCACGCTCAGGAACGTGTTGTGTGTGTTTAAGTGTGCGTGCGTGTGTGCGTGTGCGTGCACGTGCGCGTGGATATATGCATATACATACATATACGCATAATTACATACAGACAGACGGACAGACAGACAGACCAGATGGACAGACACACAGACAGCCAGATGGCAGGCAGGCAGGCAGGCAGGCAGGCAGGCAGGCAGGCAGGCAGGCAGGCAGGCAGGCAGGCAGGCAGGCAGGACAGACAGACAAATATAAGTTTTACACACACAAATACATGTAGACATTATGCATATATATATACACACACATACAATACATATATATATATATATACAGACAACAATCGCTTCCACGTAAATGTGCATAGATCCCTGATAATCGCACTTTTCCAACTGCTTTCACTTCGGTGGCGTTTTCTGCG